CTCTGCTATTTGATCCCCTTCTCCATGGTTAGATCCCTTTTTATTTACTGGTCCACAGTTTTGTCCCCCTATTACATTACACCTAAACTTAAGACTGTACAATTTTCTGTCATGCCATTGTATGGATGCATCTATACTGTGAATATGTTTCATTAGAATGTACACTGAACTTCTCTTGAGGTATGTAGAAATCAAAGAGACTGACTAGTTCTATTTATAATTATCAACAATCTGTGCACCTGCTTCAAACTTCTCTCCAAAATATTTGTTTATTAGTCTCCAATATTTCAACTAGGTATGTGCAGACTTTTTATGTTCTTTTCATAGATACAATTATAACCCGACAAGAGAGAGCTGGCGGGTTGCGCGTAGAACAAATTGAAAAGTGGAAGGAATTGCTCTTTTCTATTGCAGTCGGCTAGGAGTTCACATCGTGTATAACCGTTTAAGTACCTATACTATATACCTATAATCGCGATTAAGTACCTCTCCTATCTCTCTTAGAATAATTCCTTTTCTCTTCGCACAGCTCACCCACCAGCTCTCGCTTGTCGGATTATACTCTTATAACAACTTTACTCCCAGAACTCTTCTATTAGCTAACTCTTCAAAGAATCTCCAAATTTTTAATCTATCAGTTTTCCTCTTCAAAAGTGATAATTCTGATCCAACTTTGTAATACTTTCGACTTCAGCTTTTGTATTGTGTTTAGTGTTACATTACCTGCATGCATTAGATAACTTAAAATCATTAGACCTTGTGACTTTTTCTGAATTGATTTGTTATCTTATTTTGCATTCCTCTCTATCTGTAAATAATAAACTCCTAATCTATAAACAAATACTGAGGCCAGTATGGACCTATGGCTGCCAACTCTGGGGCTGTGCCAAACCTAGTAACATCAAAGTAATCCAGGTATTCCAGAATAAAGTGCTGAGGAACATCGTAGATGCGCCTTGGTACGTTAGGAACAACAATCTTCACCGGGACCTCAAGATGGAAGACGTCAATCAGATAATCAAGAAATTTGTAGGGAGCCATAAACAACAACTCCATCATCATGTAAACGTCGAGGCTATCCAGCTCCTTGATAATACGAACCTAGAGAGAAGGCTCAAAAGAACAAAGCCTTTTGAACTGGTATAGTGAGTGAGTGAAAAGCAGAGCAAAGTGTTGTGCGAGTATGCATGCTAAATTTAATGCTAGTTATTAGAAATAATAGGAAAGATACTAGTGAGTAGACACCTAATTTTAAGTTTTCATTAGTAATTTAAGTTAAAAACAAATTGATAATTGGTCTTACTGATCAGATTTTAATGTAAGTACACTTCAGTGTATTCAGTAAAAAAAAAATTGTGAATATATGTTGTTTTTTTTGTTATTGTACTATTCATATATTCTTTTTCCAAATCAGTTTATTGTATTAACTGCATTTATAGCACTGTAAATAAAACTTGTATAATGTAAATAAAATGATATATTTTTAGTAGCTTTTGTTGTATTAAAATTAATGATTTTACAGAGGAAAGTGTGTTTATAAGCTAAGTAAGAAAAGTTTGTAAATATAACATAAATATTAATGAACCAAAATATTTACAAGTATCATCATTCTATTTGCCTTTTTGCCTCTTTAATAGATGTTCCCTCATTTTGTTAATAAAAGCCACACCCAAACTTACTCTTAAATACTCATTCCTCACCTCATCTTTTTTAGTTACTCCACTCACCCAATGAAGCATGCTCATTTCAGCCATGTAATTTCTGTTTATTCCTATTTATTGTACAACATTCAGTACCATATATAATCACTGGTATCAAGACAGTATTATAGAGCCTGTCCTTTAGTTTTACTGGTACCTTCTTATCCGTATCACAATACTTCAGTCTCCTCCTTCCAAGATTTTCTGCAGCATTTAACAGTAGATTGAATACCAAGCATGATAGTGCATCTCCCAAAGCAGCACACTTTACATTTAACAATATATTTAATAATAAATAGGTCCTGTTGAGTTTACCTATTAGCTTTATTAGTATTTTTCCATCACGCCGAACTCCACTCATTTCGTTAATACTGTTTTAATTCTATTACTTACATTTACATCCTAATAACTCTGTAATACTGAGTCTAACTACCTAAAACTACCACTCTCTTTTATGTTTTATAACACTAGATTGAATGGCATCAAATATAAAATAGGGGTCTGTCATATTTTTCTATTAACAAGTAAAAATATTTATAAGGTAGTAATTGGGCCAAGAGTAACTAATTTTCCAGCAGATCTATATAAAGAAGGTAGTTCGAATATCACTGGCAGTGGCATCACAGCAGCCTAGAAAAGAAATATGAATACAGCAGTCCCTCCCCAGCGATTGGAATACTTGCACCATACATAAAAAGGGAGATATATCTCAATACCCACATCACAGAAGAACTACTCTCCTTCATACTCTGCGCTGTTGCATGGCACATAATGATAGTGAATAATAGGAAACTAAGGCTTATGAGGCTATCTAAATTTTGACAACTCATTAAATATTGCAACCTTTAGGTAAAAAGTAGGTACATATAATACAATACATTAAATTAATAAAAGTTATTATGCTATTGATATGATTTGTGGCTAATGAACTTAGTTTTGAAGCCAAATCTCTCTGCATACTGTCACACACACAATTAACAATATCTTAATTATATTAACTTCATCAATTTTACATCTAGTATTTATGCATGAAAATATATACTAAACCATACAATAAAAGACTAATTATACCATGGACATTCTAAGTTGATTAAGAGAGTATTTAAGACATGGAAAATGCAAGAATATCATTGGCAGTGCTACATATACAACCATTCTTAGATTTTCAAGGTGGTCTTGGTAGAGTAAGTACTCTTTATTGAGTCCCAACAAGCTGCACATATAAACCAAATTTTATTTATTTTTTATTATTATTTATATTACCTACAGATGCAAACAAGTTAACTGTACATAGACCTGGGCAAAAATAGTAAATTAAATTATCACCTCTAAAGAAGATGGAGAAAAGTTGTCAAGAAATGTATGGGATATAGTTTAATAATATACACACATCAATAATAATTAATAAAAGTCAATAATATACACATGGAATCACCCAGTATTTCCGATTTTGTAAAGTATTACTAAATTTTTTTTAATGAAAAATGAACTACATTTTATACTAAACCAGCTAAATTACTATAAAAAAAATCAAAAAAATGTTACAAATGCATTAAATTAACAAAAACACAAACAAATGAAAACATTGCAATGGTTGACTAAAAAAAGATACAGTCTTGTTGTTCATTTTAATAAGTTTTTCATAAGTCAGTGTTACCACCTCTAGCTCTAATATAAGCTTCAATCTCACGGGGAATGCTTCTAATCAAAGCATCAACTTGTTCTTGAGGTAAGTTTGCCCATTCTTTGCGTTTCATTTTCAGTTTTCAGAAAGTCTGTGGATCAAAGCCTATTATTACCATTATTGCTTCATTATCTGGCCACATTATATATTGAGGCATTAATAATAAGATTGCTGACACAATTTCTTTAAAAATACACTATGGGCTGTACTCTTGGCTATATTGAACCTGTCGCCACAGGCTACACAGGATTCTGGTTTAGCTAAAACCCAGGTGGTGAACAGCACTTTTTTATCTAAAGGAATTGTAGCTCCAATGGGTATAACTCCTAAATTTCCTAGTTGCTGGGTAATTACCAAAACATTTATATGTAGTTTTCAAAGAACTAATAATCTTTACTAAAACCTACTTCAGCACATTCCCTACTCATGCGAAAATGCTTTACAAAAAGATCTCCCATATATTGGGGAATGGTTTCCTCATAAAAATTTTGATTAGGAGGCACTTGAGCTCTCTCAGCATTATTCAGCTCTAATTCTTCAGTTTGTGCCAACTGATCCACAACATTTCCAATTAGCTGGATATTATTTTCCTTGTCCGCTAGTAATGTGACGTAAAGTTTAATAATATTTAAAAGGCAAGCTAAATTGGCAATCTAAAAAATAAACAAAATATTTAATTTTAAAATGACAAATTATTTGACATTGACAGATAAGGTAGCGGTAGCGGAATCCAGCAGGTTTTGACTTATGACATTTGGTCCAGCGCTTTACGATGGATTCGGAAGTAGCGGAGCGGTAGCTGCTCCGTCTGCTGAACGCGCCCAATGAAATATTGGTGTTTCGCAGTGTTGAAATTTACATTACAAACGAAACATAAGCAATAAGATATTTAAAAACTAATATTTAACGATTACGAAAAAAAGAAAAAGTAAACAGTTTTTAACAGTAAATAGTAAAATGTCAGTATAAATAATAAAATTTAAAAGGCATTTGTTGCAATCTGGCTGCTGGTGGTTTGAGGGTTCTGACTCTATTGCCAAATCTATCCGCTAACCTACCAAAGGGCAATTGCCAAAAAAATTTTCTGATAATTTATTACAACTAATATCAAACGAAACAAATATTACTTCATTAATATTTTATATAAGGTATAAAATTGCAGAATCCATAAAATAATATGATAAAAATGTACCTTTTAAAAGCTTTATCTCTTTGTATTTGAAGCATATATACATTATAATAACATGGCAACACTGCCAATACAATATTTCGTTCTGTGAAACTTAATTGACAACTAATTTGAGGCTATCTTCAATGGGACCAAATATGAAAATCGTCCTCCATGTTTGATATTTGCGGCTATAATCAGCTTGTAATTTTACTTTCGGTAAATTATACGTCATTGGGTAAACTTAACCGAAAATATTTCGTTCTCTGGACGTTTCGTAACTATCTTCACCGCAGTGTATCCCGAATAATATCACAGACCACTAATAACGTGATCTGTGAATAATATCCTAGATAATTGTCGACTTCGCATGCGCCCACCATGCGCCTGTCATATGTCATATGATAAAAAGGCCATGTCAATTTTGTGTAATGATCTATGAATAAATGTCACAACAAAATAAAAGAAATGTAAAGGTTGAGTTTATTTGATTAAGTTATTTTTAATTTGAAATATTTTAAGAATGTCTTCTCCAGCACCAAAATCTCCAGAACAATCAGATAAAAGCAAAAAATATGACCGCCAATTAAGGTAATAAAAAATAAAACTAAAATTTAAGATGGTCAAATAAAAAATTGTTTTATTTCAGGTTATGGGGAGATCATGGACAGAAACTTTTAGAACATTCAAAAGTTTGTCTTATAAATGCAACTGCACTCGGAACTGAAATTCTAAAAAGTCTAATTTTACCGGGTATCGGGTCATTTACCATAGTTGATGGGGAAAAGGTTACAGAAGAGGATATAGGTTCAAAGTAATTAAGAACTTCATTTTATTATATAAAAATAGAGGAAAAAGGAAAGGTTCTGAAATAGTTTTCTTGTGGCTTGTCTAAATTATCCTCAATCATATTCTAGACAGTAAAAGTCTTTTGTGGACAGATTTTTGGTAAGATCATCTGCCAAGGTTGCCAAAGTAGAGGTGACAGAACTACTTATTATGGACAATCTTCACCTGTTCTTGTTTTAATGGTTGCTTTACCCAGAGTGGATATCACTATCCTATTCTCCAGGGATGCTCTTATCCATCTGCATATCACTGTATGTGTGCTTTAACCAGAGAATTGGTGGTAACATTATTAAATATCCCTTTAATATGTAAAACAGCGGACATTGCTATTTCTTTGTCCCCTATTGACTTTGAGGTAAGTCTATTTAGATCATGCAATGCTGAGTCCATAGATTTACCAGGTTGGTACATGTATTGACAATTGCTTAGAGGATTATCTTTTAGCACTTTTTTTTATGTGCTTATCCAGTCTTTCCAGCGTTTTAAAAAAAAACCAAACAGTCTTGTCTGAAGGTTTGCTTCCTTGGACTATCCATAGATGTGTCCTGAGCCCATGGTTACTTATCATCCTGTATGAAGATATTGTGTGTGTGGCTTGGGTATATTTTACACCTCCAAAGATTTAAAAGATGTATTCTCTCAAGGTCTCAGGGTTGGAATCACCTCCTTTAGCAACCTTGTACTTGTGTCATCTACATAATTAACTTCCAGGAAACCCAGCCTGTGGGTGCTCTTCACCTCAGGTGCAGGACCTCAGGAAGTGAACCTGAGGTCCTGCTTCAAGAATTTCTTTATAAGCCACCAAGATGGCTTTTTGGACTGTCTTAAGCTTATCCACATTCATCTTGGCCTCTGGGAATCCTGTTAATACTGCTGCAACCTTAACAGAAGCTGCAGCTTTGCTAAAAGTCACATTCCCAGTGCTTTATCCTTTTCCTCTGCATTGGCTTTTGGGTGGTGTACTTCTGTTTGACCTTGGCCTTTTTGGTCTTCTGAGTTTGTTTTTGTTTTATCATAACCTCTTATGGCTTTAACAACAACTTTTTTGTCCCTGCAGCACCCTTGGTAAACTTGGCCTCAGAAACACTCCAAGTTTTTTACTTTGTTTATCCATATTGGTCCAATGAGTAGCTAGAGAAAGACAGTTCACATCTCTTAGAGCCTCTCTTTCAAGGATAAGATCCAAATACTATGGGGTGTGACGTGTTACCCCAAAGGAACCATTTGTGATACTATTACCCTATTGCCTTACAGCCTTCACTACAGTGTCTCACACATTGGCTTGGTATGTGTTTATTGACTATCTCTAGTCTAGATCCACTGGAATTAGCTTGAACATCAATCATTATTGGGAGCACCTAGCTGTCTTGGGATGGTTTAAGGAGATGCAAAGTCCTAAAAGAACTCTCCACACAAAACTTGTCCCTAAGATGAATTCCTTCTCCACTCAAAAAAAAAATTAGAACAGGAACACATCCCTTGGCCCCTACAACACAGTAACAAGACTGTTAGTTGGGGGAACTGATCCATTGAAGTCTATACTGAAATGAAAATAATACAATTGGAAATCAAGTGCAACCTATATTTAAAAGGCATAAAACAAATAAGATCAGTATCTGTAATTTTTTCTTTAGAATCTGGACAAAATTTATTCAATCACTTTTTTCACTCATAAAATTTTTAGCCTGAGACATAAAAAGTTATCATTTATACTGTAGTGAGTATATTAAATCAAATTATACAATGTAAATGTGTTTGAAAATTTGCAATATAAAGACTACAAACAAATCAAATTTATAAAACATTAGTAAAAGTATTTACATTAATGAAAAACATAAAGAAATTTAATTTTATAAATACTTTTTTGTATTCTGAAATACCTCCTGAACATAACAATTCTTAATTGATCCTAAACAAATATGTTTACTGTATTAAACTCTAAACAAATACCTACATAACAATCTTTTTTTAGTTTTTTCTTAGAAAGTGATAGCATTGGTACATCGAGAGCTCAAGTGTCTACTCAATGTCTGCTTGAACTTAATCCAGATGTAAGAGGTGATTTTATAGATGAATCTCCAGAACATGTAATGTCCCATACACAAGATTTTTTCAACAAGTTTACTGTTGTTATAGCTACTGCCCTACCTGAAAAGTAAGTATAATTTAAATCAATTTATTATTAATTTATTATCTTATTTATCAATTATTATCTTATATATCAACAATTATACAACAAGAATATAAATTGGAAATTGAATTCAGGATTTGTTCCATATCTGTGTTTTCTAAATGTTGCAAAGCAAGCAGACAATGAATGCACTGGCATGGGAATTTATTATTTGTATCAACGTTATAACAATTCGTCCAGGCAGAAATCCCTTTGTGGAAACAATTTCCTAATACTCCATGCTAGAGTAAAATATAAAATAAAAATAAAATAGACAGTTAAGTTTTATTTTCATTACAGCGTAACACCATTCACTGATGACATTCAGGTCGGCTGTTTCTGGATGTTCCTTTTGTCAAATCAAGTTCCTTGAAGTCATCAAAATAAGACGTTTTATAGAATATTTTAATCTCATTCATTACATTCTTTTCAATTTTAATGACTTTTATATCAGACAACTTTACAACCGCACCATCAAAACTCCTATTCGGCTTAATAACTGGCAGTTGTTTCAAATCCCCAAAAAATCTTTGTATCCCATCTCATTTACAATGTACGGGGTCCCACGTTTTTTCGAACTTCTGATGGCACAGACGTATTGGGAAGGTACGTAAATGGGACCAGATTTAAGACTTTTTTTTACTCCCTTCTCATTCGTTGAATGTACTGCGTCCCCTTCATTTTGTGTGTGGCCTCGGATTAAGAACTTATGTGTTATTGATTTTACTTTGAGATTTAATACTGCATAGACGTACATTCCAATGATAAACTGGTTCTTCTGTTGGCCACAGCAGTTATCAGAATAGAACACTATATCAAGATCTTTATTAGCGAAAGAAGACTTCTTTTGCAAAAACTTCAAAACACAGCTACCTATTTGATTGGCTCCACGATTGCCTTGAGATTCATCCCCAAAGTAACATTCAACATTGTCTGTTTTCAACTCTGATATGGTAAAATTCAAACAATTTATTTTGGACTTAGAATGTTGATACGTCTCCTTTAGGAACCGTCATTACCGCTTGTAAGTCATAGCATGCAACGATAAAACAATCTGTCACTTTCTCTTTGTCACTAGCTTTTTCTTCGCGACTTTTTTGTTTTTCTGCTAAATGGCGGTCATAATCTTCCTTCAAAGCTTCCTTTCTGGGAAGGTACAAAGTACATCCTATCATAATCTGAGGCGGGAGAAAAGTCGCCATCATCACTGATTTCAACAGGTAAAAGGTTAGAGCTGTCTCCAATTTCATGTAAATTATTCATAATATTTAAAGCAGAAGATGTTATTTCTGTAAGTGGAACATCAGGCTGTTCGAAGTTCCTGGTAGAAGTAGGCACAGTATTTTGGGCATTACTGTCATTTAAAATTGCCAGTTGTAATATCTTTTTTTCTCTGCTTCTTGATGGAATCATGATAGTTCTTGTACCTTTAACAAATAGTACTTTTTTAGGTTATATTCAAAAATTAAAGTCATTGGTAGTAAATACATAGAAATCTAAAGTGATAAACTTATAAAATAATGAAATTAGCCTTTTACAAAGTTTTAGCTTTTATAAAATAATACGGAATAAACGTGATAAAAACAAAATGTCGGTGTTTAATATCCTAATTCTCTAATGAAATATACATTTTTAAATAAAACAATGACACTTTGCTTAAAATGACGTCTATTTAATAATGCAAGAAATTAAAAATATGACATTTAAACCACAAAAATGACACTAAGCACAATATGCCCCTTATTTATTCTATATAAACACAGTTATCTGGAATAGTTGAGTAAAATATCGGCACTATACAAAATATGCCAATATCGAAATCATAATTTTGTTGTATTTTTCCTATCAAGTAATAAAAAAACGACATTATACAAAATATGTCACTTTTTCACTCACCTCAGCTAAGACTCGTTGCGGCGGCTGGACCTTTACTGGTTTAGTGTCGGTTTATCGGTCACGACCCATGCTCGCGACAACAAAGTAAGAAGTGACATTAGCGACGTCTACATAAAACCGAGCGAGCTATTACAACGGAGATATTTGCAACAGACGTAGTTTTGCTCGTAGATTTTAGATGTCGCTGTAACTAAAAACCACCGAATTTTGTATAATGCCACTTTTGATTTCAATGTGCGATATGAGTTGACTATTTTTTTTTCAGATCTTAAAATAACGATGAATAATACAGCAATAAATATTTTTGCACAGTTTTAAATAAAGATATATTTGCATTTGGTCACCAATGTGCAGAATTATTATTGACTTTAAGACTTTCCATTCAAAATAAAAGAATATACATAAATCTATTTCAGAGTTCTTATACCACTCTCAAAACATTTATGGGAATCTGATGTTCCACTAATAGTCTGTAGGAGTATAGGTTTCTTAGGATATATTAGACTACAAGTGAAAGAACATACAGTTATAGAATCACATCCTGATAGTGAAAATCATGATTTGAGATTGCTTTCACCATGGAGATCTTTAAGGGAACATCTTGAAAGTATAGATGTTTCCATGTTGGACTCAAAAACAAGAAGTCATACCCCAGCATTAGTTATATTATACTACTATTTAAATAAATACAAGGAATTGAATGGAGGTAAGTTGGTGTAAAATAATTATATAATTATAAATTGAATAACATTATTAAATAGTATAATATATAATATTTCCTAACCCCTTCTCTCTATTTCTCTATCTATTTTTCATATTTCTAACTTACTTGACTTTTTCTATGTAGCATTACTTTGTTTTTGTCTCTAAGTCCTCTATGTTGTCTCATTAAAATTTCTTTAGAGGTTCTCTTCTTCATTTACTGAAGAGTATCATAAATTTTTTGCCAATTTTTGGTTTTCTTGCATTCCCATCTCAATCTCTGATATGCAATATTGGATAAAAAGGTGACTCACATAAATTAAAAAAAAAATATGCTCCCAAAATGACTGTATCTTCTCTAATTTGTGTTCTCAGTGTAAAATCTCAACCAGAGTTTTACAAAACTCACATTATTTGCTTGGAGCAGAACAGTAATCGGAACCCAAACTATTCTGGACCTTTGTCGATTCATTAAGGAAATGTATTCATTTAGGCTAATGTAGAGAAAAATAGCAGTCAGCTTCCTAGCTCTGGTCACATTGGTAATAATAAAATTCCTGTTTTTAACATAACTCTGGCTGAGGTATTTTCAGGGATCCTAAATTCAAAGTACAATTAAATGTTTGTCATTCAAATACATAAATCTGGTGATAAGACTGAAAAAATATCCTCCCATCAGTAACCTAAGTGTGATTACCAAACTATTTGAATCACTTGGAACAAAATTCCTTTCATGGCATTGGAAAAATATTATAATATTATGATGAGAATCATGGTTTTACAGTTGCAACTGGGACCTTTTTAGAGGGATGCATTAGCATCCTCGCATACTACACTGGGGTGCAAAATTAACTGGGCACTCAGATTTTTGTATATTTTTTCGTTTTTAGAGAAAACTTATTTAATTTTTTTGAATTTTATTGTACGCTTTATTAGTGATAACTTTTTTTCTTGCGTGAACCTGTTTTTAGATGATTTTTGCAAGCAACAATCGTTTTACAAAAACTTTTTTAGTATTAATGTGAAATAATATTTTAAATTGAACAACAATATTTTAAGTTTATTTTAGTATTTGTGTATAAGTGTTCACAAGTTTAGCTTTAATAGTTTAGTTTACAAGTTTAGCTGATGATTTCAGAAAAAGTTGCACAAGCTGTTACTTTACAGGATGATTGGCGGGGCATTGGTTACATCGTTAAGGTGTTAAATGCAATACAAAAATTTCGGGAAACATGAAAATACACCAGTAGGCCAGGTCAAGGTAAATGAAGAACTATAAGTCAAGTTAAATATCGCTTTTTTAGACTGCAACACTGCAAGCATTACGCGGTCGAATATTACAAGCACCAGTACTCGTTCAACGATTAAATGATTCATAGAAACACAGTTTCCATTTATACTGTTCGAAGACGCTTAGGCACTGGTTTCTCTGAACACACGTCAGCGGCGACGGGCAACGGCTTCCGTCAACGTTTGAATGTTATGCCTAAAAGTGTATGCACTTGGTTTCTCAGACACGCCAGCGGTCACGGCTAGCGTCGACGGTTGGCGTTTACCCGCTTTGTGTGTCCGTTCATACGGTTTCGAAGCATTGCAGCGGGTGGACGTTATGACGGACGAAAGCAAAATGAAAAAAGAACAAGATGAAATACATACAAATAATGTAATAATTAATTTTAACATAATTTTTAGTTATAACAATTATACATCGTGAGACTGCCAAGTGACCCATCCAGATGGCGAACACAAGTAATCTATTATTTTTATCAGTATTTTGGAAAAGACGCAGCAAGTGAATGATCAGTTGTTTGAAAAATTTTTAATGCAGATAGAAACTGTACCAGAAACATCTGCTCTTCATAAATTTTTCGAGTCCATGACTGATACTGTTTCAAACTTTACACCACATATTATTGCTGAAACTAGGTTACAAGTTTGTAAAATAGTAACAGAGATGGAACTGAAAATTCATAACGAACAGTAGCTGTTTTTGTCATAGTCGAAAATATTGTATGAATTTTTCATGATCACATTTAAGATGCGTATGAATTAAGTTACTAAATGTCTTTTCATTCTCTCTATTTTTAAATATATATTGTGTCTGTCTTCTTCTCTTTAAAGTTCTAATTATTAGTTCAATATCATCCCCTTTTTCAAGTAACAGTTTCATCAACATTTTTTTCATTATAATTTTCATTATTTATAAAGTTCTTTGTATTTTTAATCTAACCTAACAATCGACGTCTATACCTATATTCTAGAGAAACCACTAAACCGTTACCGACGACGTGTGGACGTTAGCCGCAACGTCCAAACGTCGAAGGCCGCGGCTTACGTCTGTTCAGAGAAACCAGCACCTTAAATAAATATGGATTAAGGTCCAGAATACATTTCACGGAACCTTCAGTAACAGCGTGATATCGGAGGCAACGTTTAAACTTTGTTGGCGAACATCTTAATTGAGGTATTGAAGAATGGTGGAGATGGTATAACGGTGTGGGCAGGTATTTCTCTAGAGACTCATACAGAAATTGTTACAATTTTAGGGGGCAATTTAAACACTGAAAGATATATTGAACAATGTTTGAAAGATCATGTAGTGCCATTTGCTTCATATGCTGAAGAAAACTTTCGTCTGATTCAAGATAATGTTCGTCCGCAGATTGCAAGAATAACACGTGATTACTTGGGTGAAATTAAGATTCCTTTATTACCACGGCCCGAAGGAGTCCAGACTTAAATATAATAGAGCATGCACGGCATATTCTGGGACGACGTATTCGACGTAATCATGTTCAGTTTTAAATCATTAATGACTTAGAGCTAGCAGTTTGTGTCGAATGGGAGCAAATTCCTCAAGAAGAACTTGCTGCTTTAATCCAAAGTATGCTTAATCGAATGAAAAACGTAATTAAAGGTCGTGGAGGTAATACACCCTACTAAATATAGTTTTTTTATAAAAAAATGTTCAAATTACAAAATTGAATTTTTGTTTTTTTTTGCAGATTTTATAACTTTTTGAATTTTTTATTCTTTGTTAAATTCTTGATTTGTAACAAATGTCGCTTTTAAATTTTGTTTATTATTAAATATTAAATCGGCAACATCTTACACTTTTTTAAACGCCAGTTTTTAGGAAAAATCTGGGTTTCAGGTTAATTTTGCACTTCAGTGTATTAACCAATATAAAATATAGAACCATACATGTATAACTATATATGTACTTTCTTTGCGGAGGGGGGATGCAATTGCGTCCCCCCTCCCTTTTATTCAACAGAGATTGGCAATCAAATAAATGCTATTTATACTTACTTCAATAAATTCTTTGAACCCTTTGAAGATAAATCATGCTGCTCTTATCAGTAAATGAGATATAATGAAATTTTCTTTATAGTTTATATGTGGTTTTTTATAAAGGATGTTGCAAATGAAATTTCTTCTCTTTGTGGATGACCTTAAGTTATATGCAAGAACAAACAATGTTGATGATTGTATCAGTTTAAATAAGGATAATTTACTATTTTTGTTAGGAGTAAGTCACGATTTTAGTTTCAAATAAGTTTTATTAACGTTTCAAATTCCGAATTCGGAAATCGTTCGTAAAATACAAAACTTTAATAAATTAAACAAATTTTGTTGTTGTTACTTGGTAGAAAATACATTTTAAAGTAGATTACTTTAAAATGATGTTGTCAATATTTGTGAGATGAGAATAAGCCACAATTAAAGGTTAAAGTACGTTTATTGACGTTTCAATTTCCACTTCGGAAATCGTTCTCAAATTACAAACATTAGTAAATTGAAAATAGCTTAAATACAATGCCACAAGAAAATAGCCTCAGAACCATATTACTAAGTTTAAATCAATATCATTGAAAAGGTTCAGCACCGATTCATTGTTTATTAAATGAATAGACATACATATTTATTCTTATGATGAGTTTCTAAGGCATTGCAATCTTCTTACTCTTGAAAAACAAAGAATTAAGTCTAATTTATTTTTGCCTTTTAAAGTATTATCTGGAAATATCGAGTGACCAAGTCTAGAAATAATTGTTTACTTTATTTCCTACCACAACACTGTTCTACTGGGTTTTGGGAGCGTTCCCAAACAATAGCGAGACAAAGCAGATATAAAAGAAATTAGAATCTAAATAAGTTACTCTAAAATATAAATTTGTGTGGTTAAGTAAATAATTGTTATAAATTATTTGTGTTTTAGTGTTAGTGTTAGAAGCCTTTAAATAAATTAAAATAAACATTACACTGTATTTTTAGGAGCAATCCCAAAAACTAGACAAGAAAAGGACATCCTTCGAAAAATGATCAGAGATAGTCCAGTTTGTGATGAGGGCTGCGCTAAAATTTTAGAAGAGAATTTTGAAGAAGCTATACGTTACTCAAATACTTGTCTGAATCCCTCTACAATACCTTATAATGTACAGGTGAATCTATTTCAGTGTTACAATAATAATTTTGCTGTGTATCAATATTAAATAGTACACATTGATTATTTGAAAACTCACTAGGACAAATATCTGATAAGATTGGATGTGAGGCAGAATTGACATGGCCAATCTTACCAGATACCTACACCTACACTCCATATGCAGGGTGAGTTTGTAGTGCGACATTTTTCGATAATTCCATTATGGTACTGAATATCAATAAAAGTTTTGTATAAAAAATGTAGGCAATGCTCTTCTTCAGGCTTGGAAAATATGCCGAATTCCACAGGGTTATTTAATTTTTTAAATAGGACACCCTGTATATTTTCTCTCGTATTTATATTCCTCTAATTATCTCTGTTCTTACAATATGAAGTTTCACACTACTATACAGGGTATTTACGAGTTATGAAAATTTTTATTTCTATATCGGTATACACCCTGTATATAAAAAAGGAATACATAAATAATTATTCGTTTTACGAAATATGGTAAACAATATGTTTTACAAAAGGTACAACCATATATTTTATTTTTTCAAAATATTTCATTTATGATATCTCTTACTTTAATTTTTATGAAGCGTTTTTTATACCTGAACTCATTAATTTCCCCGATATTTTTCATTTTCTTCAAATTTTGGGAATACCTTTCGTTTTTATACGTAGATATAACTTAGTCTTGTGTAATAATATAACAATATGCAATGAATGTAACAATTAATGTGAATTATTAATAATAAATTTTCAAAATGTCCACCTCCAACGTCTATGCTGGTTTGTAACCGATGTCCAATGACCGAGTCACATTTTTCAGTCAATATTATTAAAAGCTTCTTATTCTATTTTTTATATTATTTGGCGTTGTTCGAGATTTCTGGTGCAAAAAAAAAATTATATTGCCCAATATGAAAAACTAAATTTTTGACAATTCCGGTAATCGCGGTGGTCAAACAGATGGTCCTCCTAGTATCCTCCTGTCTACAGCAACTCGATGGCTCCAATCAGAGTCCTGAAAGCGAACCTCCAGGTTTTAGTGTTGCTATGAGAAGGCAGCTTCGGCAGATTTTGGTGTTGCTATGAGAAGGTTCAACGTAGCTTTGATACCAGAGCCCTGGGCTTACAAGGGTATAATAAGAGGTCTCTCGGGTAGTGGTGGGGAAAACAGACTGGGATGCATATCAAGCAGACCTGGAATATTGTTTAAGCAGGGTTAAAGGAATGATAAGCCATACATTGGATCTAGACATGGCCGCCGAATAATTTCAAGGAGATAGTACAGCAATCTCACCGATAGAACTCTCAACCCAAGATACCGATTTTTATTCGCCATCTCGAGCAGAGAGCCCACGTCTATCGCACCGCGTTCACAGACTTACGGCTGACCTCCTAGACCAAGTACTTGAACTTTGGACACTCCCTATCCTCACTACCATGACCTTTAAGGTTGCAGTTCACGCACCACTATTTGTTTTCGTTGCATTCTTTGGCGGTGTTTCCTTCCATGGCACACCTACAGCCCTTAAGTTCGCTCTCTGCCCTCGCAATGGAAACCCCTTCGTTTGCTAAGCAGGATATTATTCTCACCCTCAGTGTCTTACTCCAGATCAATCTTTCTGCCACATACAATTACACATATGAACCGTGACAATTTTGCCGCGTAAAATCTCTATACCGCTTTCTCTCTCCCAGTCATATGCGGATTCCTTGTATCATATCGGAAAAAAGATTAGTCCTTGGCCTTACTCAGCATGACTACTCCGTTTTTAATGACAGGCCCTCTCACGCTCTCTTTCCCTCAGAACAGGGTCGCCGTGAGACCCCTGTCTCTCACTGCCCACTTCGACAGCTTGCGGAGACCATCCCCAAGGCTGCCGATGCTCACACATTCATGATGTTCCTCCCATTCTTCACCATCCTTTCCGCCAACAAACTCAGCGCTGACAGGAACCTTACCCTTATCGATGATGAATTTCAAACATTCGCTCAGCCTCCTCGTTGACATACATCGCTCCCTTGCCTACGGCATGGAAAAGATAGAGAAAAACTGCCTTTACATACAGAACAGTTAAACTGCGAACATTATTCTAATGCTTTGATAATCAAAAAGTAGTTTCTTTTAACAATGTTTTTTTTAGGAAATTTTAGATGATGAATCTTGCAAAAAATTGACTCATGACAGCTCTTCTTTTTGGATAATGTGTGCAGCTCTCAGAGAATTTGTGCAATGTGAAGGTGCATTACCAGTCAAAGGAAGTTTGCCGGATATGGCAGCTGACACAACAAGCTACATCTCATTGCAGCAACTGTATCATCGACATGCAGAACTACAAGCTGAATCCGTTTACAGACGGGCGTCAGACATGGCAAGAGATTTAGGATTGCCTTTGGATGCTATTAGTCAAAATGAAGTAAGTGCAAACCTTATTTAATTTTTGAATTTATTGAAAGATTTATCTGAAATATATAAAAAGATCAAATTACAACACAAATACATCTTCTTCTTTTCGTGTCTATTCTTTTCGAATATTGGCGATCATTCTGGCTATAATTATGTATTAACTGATGCTTTAAATATATTAGTTGTTGTGGGGAACCATTTCCTAAGGTTTTTAACCATGACATTCTTCTTCTCCCAATTCTTCGCTTTCCGAATACTTTGCCTTGAAGGATTATTTTTAGTAATCTGTATTTAGTGCCGTTTCTCATTATGTGTCCGAGGTATTCTAACTTTCTTCTTTTAATCGTATACATCACTTATCTTTCTTTCCTCATTGAATGACATTGACATTGAATGACATATAAATGCCATACCTGTCGCAAATGAAGATACGATGTATCCGATGTATACGATGATGTAAATAAATTTTTAGTTCAGCTAATGGATTAAGTCCACAGTCAAAGAAGACCGACAGCACACATAGTAAATATATTGCCTTTTTTAATCGAAACTTCTACTGATTGAGTGTTATAGTATGTCCACTCTATCTTTTCCCATGCGTGAAATTATTCACGAATTACTTTTTATTCTAGGTCTCCTTTTTACTTACAGAAACTAGTATTGCAAAATTAAGCTGCTTGTCCATGGAAATCATAATAAGTTAAACAAGGGTAAACAATATGGCATGTCTTTGATTCCTTGTTTACGGTAAATTTTGACGTTTATAATTTTCATTGACAGTGACATTAGCTCATTTATCGTGTTTATTGATTTATTTGAATTTATTTATTTTTTGTTTTTCAAATTTTTTAACTTGTAGTCTTTGGGCACAGAATAATAAACAATCAGAATACCCACTCTCCATGGAAAATTAAGTACCCACATCTTGTTCCGCCATGTTTTAGAGGGAACCAGTGCTGTTCAGTGAAAATTTATGTGGTGTGCATAGAAAAATTAACCCGGTTTAATCGACTTACGGCAATCATAAACACACTATGCAGTTATTTTAACATTGTTATATATAATAACATAAATATAAACAAGTACATAACCTCACAAATCATGTCGATAAAGACCCATTACACAAATGTGATTCTCAATCCGAGTCTGTGTTCTGTGTTTCCTTCTAAAACATGGCGATCGCGTGCTGAAAAATTTCAAAGGCGGCATCTGAGACTGGGCATTCTGATTGTTTATTATTCTGTGCTTTGGGTATGTCATTTGAATCATAAATTTTCAAGCATAGTAAAAAGTAATATTTTCTAATCTACAAATTGTCATTATACTACATGAGTCTGGCTGTAGTACCGTCGAACGGAAACTTATTTGTATATTTTCGAGATTACTTATTAATATTATTTTTAAAATACGCCTGGAAAAACGCTAAATTCTCAAGCGCAGCAACTTGTGTTGAATTTATATGAATATTTTGAGTTAGAAAGAAGTAATGGAGGACCTTTGGAGCCTCTTACATCTGTTCAAGAAGTAGAATATCAAATGCATGTTTGTTAATCATTTACTATTAAATAATTATTTTTAAGAGAGTTTCGTCCTTTCAAAACCAGGCAAAAATAGACGTCGTCTTAAAAGTAAGACGACTGATATGCCCGAGGCACAAAAAATGACAATACAGAATACGTTGTATATGTACCAACAGAGTAAGTGTTGATTTCTTCTGTGTGAATTTTATGATAAACAAGAACCTGGGTAGGTATTTCAATTTTCATGACATTTTCTATCTACTTATTTTTTTGGGCTATTAAAGACGATAATGTATTCCTTTTTTTAGAGAATCATGTTACTCGGCGGAGTTTGACCTATCAATTAAGAGATAAAGAAGTAGTGAATATTGGAAAATCATCGCTTAGTACATTGTTAAAAGACATCGGATTTAAATTCAAAAATGATGACAATCAACTAGCATTAATTGAACAAACTAGTATTGCTGCTCTAAGAGCCAGATTCCTTCGTAAATATATGGAAAATCTTGAAAGTGTATTTACAAGAGAAGTGGTTTTTTAGACGAAAGTTAGATTTACTCCAAAGGAAGTAAAACAAATTATTGGCAAGACAATGGTGCCAAAAGTGTCCTAAAACTAGGAAGTTATGATGGTAAACGTTTTGTAATTGTTCACGCTGGTTCACGCAAAGGATTTGTTTCGGGAACAAATTTATTGTTTTGTTCAAAATAAACTGTAGCTGATTATAATGGAGAAATGAACAACGAACTTTTTACTATGTGGATAAGAACACAATTGAGGAGCGTGCGTTCAAGAGGGGCTATATCCATTTGAAAATAATGTCCAGGAAACGAAAAAACTTCTTATCGGTTGGCCTTAATACTAGGGGATAACAAGATAAGATTTATTTGTAGTGCTTTAGGAAAGTAGTTTGATGCAATTTGATTTTTATTTTTTGAGTTAAAGTTTTTTGAAAAAAATTGATTATTAATCTGGATATGGATAGTTTTTATTGCAAACTTAAAATTCTCAAAAAGAACTAATTAAAATGCCAGAGAACACATTTTATTATAAAATTGGAACACAAAAGTCAAAAGGAACCAAGAGAAACAAAAAATATTTACATGTGAAGAGCAGGTTCTTCATCCAAACAGTCACATTCCTCGCTCTCATCTACTTCTTTCTCAGTAGATTCCGTGTCTGCATTAGCGGAAACAAGTAAATCCTTATACCATTTTAGATCTGCTGGTAACATCCATTGACCAAACAGATCTTTCAGAAGCTTCGTTAGACTGGATTTCTTCTTATCTGGTAACGAGTTTCTGGGCTCTATAATGTTTAGAACCAGGTTCCCATCGTATTTTCCTTTTTTAGCATCATCTGACGCGATTTATTTCCAGATGCAAACCGATAATATAGGTGTGTATTTAATTCAATCTTTTGTTGGTTTTGAATGTCTTTTGTGATAAAAATTCTTTTTGTTTCAGCAATGCCCTTTACCTTATTGTACACTTTATCTAGTTCCTTTATATTAAAAAGTTTTCAGTCGTTTCCTAAGAGTTTTACTTGATCACATTCTGAATAAAATTTAACGTACTCGTCTTTAGAAATTATATCGGTATTTTGCCTAAGCAACTTCTCCACTCTCCCAAAACAACGATCAAAAGCCATAAAACTGCGGACTGGAAAAGTGATTGAAATTTCGGACACATCTCTTGGAGACTTATTTTTAAGCCAAAACATAAGTGCATGAACGATGTAGGAATTCTTGTTTTGACCTGTACACCCATCACAGAATAGTCGAATTTTCTTAATTCCATCGTAGTCAAGAGAATCTAGATGGTGAAAAAGCGCTGAAGCAACTTCTGTTGAGCCACGTCCAGCATAATCTTCAGTCCACATGTATAAAGTTGGATTACGCGAAAATAGCGCGACACAACAAAAAGCGTAGAGACTTACCTGATGCGAGTAAAAGGCATCGCCAATAGCCGTCCGAGGTAAAGGCTGTACGTGTTGAAGGTCAAAGCAGAAACTATTTTCTGGAGTTTCTTTGGCTAACTCATAAAAGGCAGCAGCACGTTTTGTATGTACGCGGTATTCCAGTAGCAGCTGATTTCTAATTTCAGCTTTTGGCTCAAATTTGTACTGTTGTTTTAGTCACGTACATTTACTACACACATCCGAAGCGGGCGATGAAAACCCAATGTTAAAATCGTGTATAAAAACCTTTCGGAACATAAAATATGACACCCGATTTTGTGGGTATTCACAGTATGTAAAAAAGTATAATTTGGAAAAAAATGGATATAGCCCCTTTTGAACGCAAGCTCCTCAATTAATACCTAATTTAGAAGAGCCATCATTGGTTGCACATAGCCAAAAATATCAGAAAAGAAAATATATGTAATTGACGAGTTGCTCAGAGAATAAATGGTCATGAGGTGTTGAGACTGCCTCCTTGTCACTGTAAATTTTCTATTTGGGCAGATTGCAAGTCGTATTAAAACAAGGATATGTATGTATACAATGTTGAGTCTATCAATCTCCTCAATAGTGAAAAAGAGTAAACACTTCAATAAAAAAAAAGTGTGTGTACTTAGTACGCACGTAAGAAGTTATAATTCTATTATATGATTTCAACGAAATAAATATATTTTAAACAGTTTATTTGTATTTTTTTTAATATTAAACTAATTTTACTTAAAAAGTGGTATGTAATACCAAGAATTAAAAAAGTAAGGCAACAACACGAGGTGTTCCACAGCTACGTGGTTCCGTAGCGGCCACCCATCCAAATATTAACCGCGTTCGATACTGCTGCTATGTTGCAATAGAATAAAATTGATATAGGTAAAATAAATTATTTTGGCGGATTGTACAAATAATATTAAGATTACTTTTTAATATTCTTTTCATCATATTTTTATTAATCCTATTCCCGACGAATACTAATCCAAATACACAAAAATTATAATAAGTAATATATTTGCTAAATTTAACTTTATAAAATCGATGGTATAAAGGCCAAAGGGCGTAACCCCCAATTAATGATTATTACAGGAGGGTTAAAAAACCGAATTACATGTACTATGTAGCTAGTTTTAATTTTCTTGTACTATTTGCCTGTACCACTTTATCTCTTGAATTAAATCAATACAACAAAAATTTATATTATTGCTTACAAATGAAAATACTCCGACGAATATCAGGGAGAAGTCTGTTGGTTAGGGAGAGAAGCGAAAACATAAGAAGAACATGCAATATAGAAGGCATACATGGATGGGTGACAAAACGAAAACAGGAGTGGAACGAACACATCAGTAGAATGACAGAGGATGGAATAGTACAAATAGCACGACATAAGTCACCAAATGGACGAGGACGTATTGGCTGACCAAGAAAAAGATGGTGCGACAATTTAAACAATTTAGCAGGCTAATATTGAAGAAGAAATAGGCTTTTAAGCCTACATACTAGAAGGAAGAAGAAGAATCTGACAAATACAAAAAAAAAAAAGAATTTTACATCATATTTTGTGGATTACGCCTTTTGGCTGGCCTGTTTAAATATTTAGGTATGACTATTAATAAGGGTTACGCCGTAAATGTCAGAAGCCCCTTTATGTTTGTTAGTAGTACTTATTGCTATAATGTGATATTTTTGTAAATTGACCTGATAGGGATACAATAATAAATAAAATAGTAATACTAAATAGTGCTATATAAAATGTATTAATATTAAACAAATAATTCTTAAATATTAACCAAAATATACAAAACTTAATCTTCCTCATCAGTTTCAGCAAGTTTATCAGGCTCCAAAGTGCATGTTCTCATTTTGATGTATTCTTTGTGGTACCGATTTGGAATAACATTATTTTTAATTACATTCATTAGATTCTAGTAGTTTTTAGAAGCCGATTTTAATTCTTCGTTGTATAGCGGTGCCAGTGAAGGTAAAGTAATGTTTGATCCACTTGTCTTGTGTCCTTTATATTCTAAAGATATGAGACAAATTTTTAAAATCTGACGCAGGTATTTTCTTGTTGACCCAGCTCTACAATAATAAAACGATACAGCAGGAAGACTGAATATGAATGTTTCAACATTAGAGATGATAATTCAGGAGTAGTGTTGTTCTGAGGCGGTTGATGCCCACGGCAATCGCTTTTGGCTGTATTCAAGTCTGTTTTTTTCTCGTACGAATACCTCACAAGTTTCTCGGAGATATCCAGAGTTTTTAGAAGAAATTTCAGACATACCTTTCTTCGGATTCCGTTTATTGGGAGATAATAGTTTGTCATAACTTCACGCCTACTAATCTCTGATTTGGTGTATTGTCTTTTCTTCTCGTGATCCGATACGCAGGTCACTAAAAAATCCTTTTTCTGTTGATGGGAATGCATGTCATAATACATTCTAAAAATTTTCTGTCAATCTTTATCTGAAACTGTACCACATTGATTCTGGCACTTATTATGTGAACAAAGATGACCGCGCGCTAATTTTTTTGTTTTCATTGTTTTATTTCTTTGTTTATATTCAAGGTCTTTTAGCCATTGGAGCTGTTAAACATCCTCTTATTTACTTTTTTCGGTATTTGCCGGCCCTCAGAATCTGCATATTCTGTCTACAGATCATCTACTACTATACCCACAACAGTCTCAACTTCGCTCGCGTACCTGCTATTATCGTTTTGGCACTCATTACTCACATTGTCCCTGAAACTGTTCTAGTTGATATTCACTTGAGAACCCTCCTCATCATTACCCAAACGAATATGTTCCTTTATCTCAGAATCTATAATTGAAGTTGTATCTGTCCAAATGTATTACTTATTTGTTTTCACCATCTGCAGCATCAATTGTCCTCTGGATAAAAATTGTGAAGCCGTCAAATGAACATAATGATACTATTATAATATTCTATAGGTTTATACATGAAACTATGACTAACAAGATAGGATCTTCCCGTAGCACAAAATCGGTCGTGTTTGAGCATGCCGTCATTGGAGAGTAGAATTTGAATTCTTGTTAAAGTTAAATGGGATTTGCATGCATTCTGTGATGAAATTACTAGAAGAAAATAAGTTAAGAGGTTTTATAATTACAATAACCGTACACATATCTTCAAACTATTTATTAAAGATTATTTATTGATACATACAAAAAACTGACATTTCGAACGTGCAACTCTTATGCGCAATATATCTTCTTAGTCATAGTATCATGGGTTTATAGTTATAGGTGAGGTACGTCCTTTGTCCGGGAGGTGTATTTTTGGTCGGACTTTCAGAAAAACCAAAAATCTCAATTTCTAATTTTCGAGGGTTACGCCCTTTGGCCTTTACACGATCGAAATACATCCACCGGGATAATAGTCATTTTGTAATTATTACATTGATAGTAGTAGGTGTCAATGATAATTATCTACACATCGACGTACATTTCATTTAATATTTTGATTTAACTTGTTTGAAAATTAATCATGACGCACGGGAAAAGAGTGGACATACTATATAAACCAGCCTCAATCTTCTTTGTTTTAAAATAGGCATATTTATAAATACGAACAAAGATCACAAATATAAACTTAGTTTAAATTTTTTATGACTTTTCTGAATCATTAATGTTTGTTCTTCCGTTGTAGGTGAAATTATTTTGTAAACACGCTAGCGAATTGCACGTCGTAAGAGGCAGCTGCATAGCAGATGAATATGAACGCACTAGACTGGATCTCAACTCATACCTGGAAGATCCAGATAGCTTAATGTTCTATTACGTGATTTTGAGGGGACTGGAAAGATTTATTAGCGAATTTAATACTTATCCTGGACAATTTGATGATCAGGTGATTATTTAATAAATATGTTAAATATGAATAGGTTCTGAAACTGGCATGGCGGCATGTCTAAGTTAAATATCATATGTAGAATTAAGCCACAACTGATGGTAATGAAAATTACATTTTTAACTACTATTAAATTATTTCTATATTATTTTAAAAAATCTGTGAAAAATGCGTAACCAACAAATTGTTAGCGATTTATGTTTTCTTTGAAATTGACGGTTGAATTACCTTTCCTTGATTTTGTAGGCAATTGCTATGCCTTTAGTTGAAACAATCTGAGGGTTCGTTCGTACCCTCGGGATATCAAATTCTCACTGTTTTGTGTGCTTTTTTGTATTATTTTTTTGTGTATTATATGTTTGTATAATGTGTGTTTATGTATTACATACTTGTGCATTGTATGTTACACGGTACGGTTCATTGATAAAAGAACGAATCGAAAAATAATATGAGAAAATAGAAGACCAGATTGTTGACTTAGGAAGGGGTGGTGATACAGTACTCGTAAAAAGATTGTTTGAAATATTGACGAATGCAGGCCTAAGTAGTTTTGCACATACGATGACCTCAATATAACAATTGAGGTCAACCTGAAGGGGGAGAGAAGATATTTTGTTCAATCTAGAACCCGCTGGTTTTCCCCCTTTCGAAATGAGTCTGTATATTTAAAATAAAATAAATGAAAATCAGAGGACTGTATATTAAAATAAAAGAAATGAAAATCAGAGGACTGTATATTAAAATAAAAGAAATGAAATTGAAATATAAATATATATATAGCAAATAAAAGAAAGAAATATAGTAAATAAAATAGCAAATATACACTTACAACTAAAGAAGAATATACAAACTTAAAATTACGCAATACGAAACGACATACCAAAATACAACCATAAACCCACCAAAAGAAAAATGTCGATTGTAACAAAAAAAAACTACTTAATAAAGGCAGTAAAATAATTTCATATATACCACGTTATAAACAAAAATAAACATAAAAATATTGACATATAGTAGTATATATTAGGTGATAAAATACACATTAAATTAATAATAAAACAAATGCAATTAGTAAATTCATAAAGAGACAAAAGAATAGTAAAATTAGTACAATCTAATAAGTTGTCAATTAATAATTAATTAATAAAATTATGAATGCAACTTAGTCAATAATAATTACGGATACAGTCAAATATCTGTACACAAACGTAAATATTGTCAACGAGCGACACAATGAAATATAAAGTTCAGCAAACAAATGTCAAAAGTTCAAAAACCGCGATACAATATGAGATATTTGGGCACAAAATATGTAGTTAGCCCAACCAACAACAAATTATGATGTATATACTGTGTATTTACCCAATGAACCAATTCCAGCCACAATGGGATTGCGAACCCTCTGGTCCGGTGAATAGTCAGGAATCCAACAAACAAATTGAGAGGTAGAATGCACAACCCTCACAGCAAACCACGTGTCGGTCGTTTCGAAGACGAAACTCAACTATATCCTATATGGAATGCAAAACCTTTATCTTAGGTACACACATGTGGCGATATTTGGCAGATGGCCCGCCTTGCAATCTTTAGCCCTTAAAACGGCTGTGTCACTTACACGCAAATCTGGTTTTAAATATACTACGGGGAGAATCGAAACTAACAAAAAGACTGTTCATATTTAATAAATGTTCATGTATCGTTGCGAAACTGCAACATTCTCCCCGCGATGGCATACGTGCCAATAAAACATAACTGTTCGTTGTACTCGCGACGCACTGTACAACTCCCGAAATTGTAAACGCCACTTCGGTTACAAAACGAACGTCACACTTACAATACTACAAAAGCTACCTATACATTTACAAAAGATCACAAAGAACAATAAACTTACAAACGATAATGGATTACAAATAGATAACTACATACTAAATATACATTACTACAATTATACAATTAATCAATAGTACATACCAACATGGTTTCAAAACCTAAATGGACAGACACAGAACGACAATCAAATATGCGCTCACCTAAAACTTCATCGTATAGTTTACTGTCCAGGTTGAGACTTGAGTTCCCTATCATTAAAAGGAAGTAAACAAATTTTTACTATAGGACGTATATATGTCCCTGCACTTGTTTTTATTTTCACAGACCGCACCCTACCATCCGGTCCAGGGAACGTATCCACGATCCTAGCAATTGGCCACTGCAATGGATGGGTATTATCACCCTTGACTAGTACCACCATACCAGGCTCTAAGTTTGCTTTTTTCTCTACCCATTTCGGTCGTTTTTGAAGTTGGTTGAGGTAATCTACATGCCACCTCTTCCAGAACAACTGCTGAATACGAGACAACCTCTGATACAAGGACAATCTGTTTTCAGGTAAACTGGTGACGACTTGCTCAGGGTGAGCCGTCATAGATGTTCCTATTAGGAAGTGGGCAGGTGTCAGGCATTCCAAATCATTGGGATCACTTGACAATGGAGTGATTGGCCTGGAGTTCATAATTGCTTCTATCTGGCTAATCACCGTATAAAATTCCTCAAAAGTGAGGTTTGCATTTCCTACAAGACGGTGCAAATGATATTTACAACTACGAATAGCACTTTCATGTAGTCCTCCATGATGTGGACTATTGGGCGGAATAAAATGAAACTGAATGGAATTTTTTGAACAAAAATCGTGCAACTCCTGAGAATTTTTGTTATCCTTAAAAAATTCGTATAGCTCGAAAAGAAGATTTTTAGCTCCCAAAAAGTTAGAGCCATTATCGGAATACAATGTCGTGGGATTACCTCGACGCGAGATAAACCGCTTAAGCGCTAAAATGAAGTCTTCTGTAGACAAACTAGATACGACCTCAATATGTACGGCCTTCGTGACCATACAAACAAATATAGCTACATAAGCTTTAAGTAATTTGGCCTTTCGTAATCTAGAGGCTTTTATAAGAAAGTATCCCCCATAGTCTACAGAAACGTTCTGAAACGGACGAATTGGTTGTACTACACGATCTTTGGGTAGATCTGCCATCAATTGGCTGGAGCCTACAGCTCTAAATCTAAAACAAGTTACGCAATGATGAATGACACGTTTGACATCCCGCAATGCATGTAAAGGCCAATAACGAAGTCTGAAATTAGACAGTGTACCTTGGGGCCCTAAATGCCCTAACTGTACATGTTTTTCGTATAACATCATCGAAACGACTTGATTTTTTGAGGGAAGGAGAATTGGATTCTTTTGAGCAAGAGGAATGTTAGCATTCCTCAACCTACCTCCAACTTTTACGCAGTTATCACTCTCATCTAGAAATAAATTTAAAGCAGCCAACTGCTTATCCGGAGTGCCCTTTCCGGATTTCAATGATTCGATAATACGAGGGAATGAGACAATTTGAACATGTCGCACAATCAGCAATTCAGCTTGCTGTAGTTCTGCCACATACAGAGGGCCCTTCTTTATAGAATCTCTTTTTCGAACATTGTTAACAAAACGAAGAATAAAAGCCATGACTCGGCGCAAACGGGAAAAAGTTGAATATAATTTGAAAATGTCTTCCCAGAATGTTAAATCCTGAGTTGAGTGAAACACTACTCTGTGGTCTTTTAACCCAATTACATTCGTAAAATCTAAATTAATCGAATGTTGAGAATAGTCAATATCATGAGTCGACAAGAATGCGGGCCCACCAAGCCAAGTTTTCGTTGACTCAAGTGTTCCAGGCGTAGCTCCCCGCGAAGCTATATCCGCAGCGTTGTCTTTAGATGCCACATGATGCCAATAGAAATCCTTTGACAAATCTTGAATCCGTTTTACTCTATTGGCCACAAACAACTCCCACCTTGTAGGTGAGCCATTTATCCAGTGAAGGGCGATTTCAGAATCCGTCCACAGATGAACTGATGACAACTGAATTCTATTTTTGAAAATTTTCATAAGTTTACAAGCTAATTCCGCTCCCAAAAGCATGGCACATAACTCCAAACGAGGAATGGTTAGGGGATTTTTTAAAGGGGCTACTTTGGTACGTGAAGTCAATATCCGTACAGATACAGAATTATTGGTGTATAACGCACGAATATACGCTACGGTAGCGTATGCTATCGAGCTGGCATCGCAGAAGATATGCAATTCGATAGTAGAAGTATCAAACGAGTGTAGAAAGTATCGAGGAATTTTGATATTACATATGTGAGGCAACTCTTTAAGGAAAGTATTCCATTCGGTCAATACTGTAATATCAGTAATTGGATCGTCCCACCCCACGCGGAGCGTCCACACCTTTTGAACTAACAATTTTCCGAGCAGTATAACAGGTGACAGGAAACCCACTGGATCGAAGCACTTCGCTACAATTGACAAAATTACCCTCCTTGTGATGGCTCCTGACACCTTAATAGTGGGGGAGGTAAAGAAAAAACAATCGTCAAAAGGAGACCATTTAAGACCTAACAATTTGCTTGTAGATGGATCCATATCCACCTCTTCCATGGCCGTAGAATCAACAGAGAGAGATCTCAAAAATTGAAGTGAATTAGACGAATACTTATGCAAAGAGAATTTGGCCGAAATCAATACCTCATTGAGTTGCTGGAATAACATTCTGAGATGAGTTTCATCATTACATCCTGACAAAATATCGTCAATGTAAGTTTGCCTGGTCAGGGCATCATAGGCGAATGGGTATTTCTCTTTATTAACCTTTGCCAAATGATTCAACACACGGGTCGCCAAATAAGGAGCCGGTCTAGTACCAAAAACTAATCTATTGTGCTGCACACTTTGTAGCTTGTCCTGTGGACTATCTCGCCAAAGAAAATTAAGTACAAATTGGTGTTCAGGATTAACGTGTATCTGCCTATACATTTTCTGAATATCCGCCGTAAGAACGAATCGAAACGATCGTAAACGAAGTACAATGTCGTACAAGTTAGGCTGGACCTGAGGCCCAGTAAATAGTACATCATTAAGGGATAATCCCGTAGACGTA